CTGGTGTTGACCTATTTTAAAGATATTTTACTGGATAACTGGAAGTCAGCTTATTATTTTAATTAAGTCCATATTTTTCCATGAAATTTACCCCGTCTAATGCTTTTGTTAACCTTAAGGGGGGGGGCTGACTATGAGTGAGTGTTGTGACGAGAGGATCGATTCAACAGAAATAATTATGAAACCATTAAAACATTTGGTTTACTCTGTGGTGCGTAGATTTATTGTAAATCATACAAAAATACTCCAGAGGGTACACACACACGTTACAGGGTTTCTCAACTAAGGTCTTAAATTTAATTCATTTTAGTCGTACACTGTTTTCAATATTGTTAAAACCTGCAGAAACCCCTGATTTTAATAATTAGCAATCCATCATGTGGAGTGGTACCAACATGATGGAGATGAACATGTCAACTATGTCTTATCGCCCAGAAAAGTAATCTCCGTACCAGATGTTTTTTTCCACAGTTCATGTTTATTAACTCAGGCCATTGAAATATCCTCCATTTCAAAAACAGACAGTTTATGTGGCGGTGCAGAGCATGAACACAGTCATCAGTGCACCTCTAAATACAATAGTTCACCTGCCCAGTATGTGTGTAGCTGGAAAACGTGCTTAACGACATTCGAGGTTAAACAAATACTGATGTACTTCTGTCAAATACTAAACAGTGTTTATTTAAAAAAATCTTTCCTTGACCATAATCACATCAAACTCTTCATAGTTTTTTTTCCGTGGACAAAGGAAAAACAAAACACTGGAAAGAGTGACAAAAATAGTGATTTCAAATATGTGCAGTGCAACAGGAGACCAAAGAGAGCTAGAGCTTGAAAAAGTGGGGAGAATTTGGGAATTAGTGTCTTCTTAAGTACATTCCTGCCTGGGGAAGTGTGAAATATATAGATTTAAATTGCCTCATTTAACAACATGTAAAAACAGACAATCTGGGCTGAAGACTTAGACGCTGCTCGATGTGTCTTCGCTCTTAATATCCCAAAAAGAAGTATGATTTCTTTTGCTTTGGCCAAAAATCAAAGTAAGATCCACAAGTAATCCATTTATCAGAGGGGCGACCAGGAAAAGCAAAACTCAACAACCCAAGGCATTCCAGTCCAGCAGGTTCATCTGTTGTAGAACTGTGAGGTGACCCAGGCCAGTCCCCACTTCAGGTTGGTGAGCATAAACTTGAGTGCCTTTGTCCACTGCTCCTCCGAGTTAAACTGGGTTTTGATGGAGTAGGAGCCACCGCTGCCTCCTGTGTCTTCGATCTTCCCCTTCTCCACATCCATCCTGATGCATGAAAAGAAAAAACACTGATTACAGCCATCACACGAGGCCTGGTGGACACACTGGAGCCAATTTTATTACCAGAATATAAAACCATTGCGGGGACTTGAGTGTTAACACCAAGACGTAATCTCTGTTAACTGTGTTACACAGATTTTGAACTCAGAAAATACAACCCTGGGCTTTGGAAGTCTGGTTCTCAATTTTATAGCTGCAATAATGAAAATTTAAGATCTGAATCACGTCTAAATCTGCCCTAACGTTCTGTGACCACTGGTCTGTGTTCACACAATTTTATGAAAATCTGTTCAGACTGTGGCATTAAACACAGAGTGTGTCCTCAGGACGCCAATAGAGGAGGGATCATAAGAACCAGACGAGTGCATTTCTCCCTGCGGCACGAGTGTACTCATTTACCAAACTTGCCTTGTGTGGATTATTAGAAAATTTGCATCACACTCTGGTGTGAAGATTAAATTTAGGTCTGGTGGTAAATTGAGAGGAAGGTTCAAAAGTCCAAAGCAGAAAGGGCACATGAATGTGGTCAGAACACACAAGTTTTCCTTAAAAACAATTATTTGCCTCAGTGGCATAATCAAAAATGATAATTCTTCTCCTTTAGAATAAATTGAATTACATTTTCTTGGATATTTACAGCTTCAACTAAAACTGCTGCAAAATGTACTTGTTTATTAACGTGAGGAAAAAGTAGGATATGCTAACATGACGTTGCTCTGACCTGTACGGGAGACAGAAGCCAGTGTCGCCCTTTTCCACCTCCTCTTTAAACTGTTGGACACAGTCCAGGAAGGCCACCATGGCATGGTCAAATTTATTGTCCCAGAAGAACCTCAGGCCACCTGAGCAGTACAGAGGAAGTTCCTGTGCAAACACAATACAGAGAGGGAGGGGGGTGGAAAGATTGGATGGAGCCGAGAGGAGTGTTTAAAAAATAAAGGACAGCTGGGATTGAGAATAAATCATTTTACCTTGGACTTGTCTGTCAGTGATTCTAAGTATGAGTGGTTTCCATATGGAACAAGACGATATCTGAAGAGAGACCAGTGGGAATATTTGAGTTTATTACAGAGAAGCTAAGCGTAAATGCTGAAGCACAAACTAAACAACAGAAACAAAAAAGATAGATATGATAAAATAGCCCTAATTAGTGGGAGGGGTTAAATATGTAAGAAAGCAAAAGACATTTCACTCAAATTATTGCTCATATTTTATGGAAACATTAATGTGAGAATAAAAGATTCAACTAAAAAACTGTGACTTGGATTGTGTGTGTACCTCTGAAATCGCAGCCCCATTTTGTTGGCGAGCGCGTGCAGCAGCAGCACCGTCTGTCCCCAGGCTGCATTAATCTCGTTCCACTCCACAGGGACGCTGGGGAGTCGACCCAGACGGAAGTTGTTGATGGTACCAAACTGACCACTGTGCCTGGATCAGAGAAGAAGAAAAACTGTTTTTCGCACTCAATAGGCCTTAGTTAACTTCATCATCCTGGGGCCTATGTTGAATATTTACTAAGTCATGGTTGATTGGTGAAGAGATAATAAAATTATTTCTTCTCCTGTTTGCATTTACCAAATGTGAAATGTGGCGTTGAAGACGTTTGTCTTTTTCAGCCGATCAAGCTGAATCTGGCAATAACGCATCTGGTTGTCGACGCTCTTCAGCTCATCATCCAGCTCCAGCTGCTGCCGTTTAAACTCGCTGTACTCCTTCTGGTACCTTTCAGAACAAAGCAGCAGGGACAGAGTCACAGCTGTTAGGTGCTGTATCATCTAGAATATCCCGCTCTCCCCCTCTGCACCACAGCTCGTCCACTCACTGTAGCTCCTCCGTGTCCAGCTGCTGAGAGTGGATCCTGCTCTGGGCCAGGTCCTGGGCCACATTGGCCCTCTGCTCCTCCACCGCCTCCAGTTCCTGCACCAAGGCCTCCTCCTCCTCGTTCAGCTGCTGCAGCTCTACCAGCAGGGTCTCCTCTTCCTCCACCTGCAGGTGTGACAGCAGCTCCAGACACTGCCTAAAAAATACATTCAAATACAGTGTGTTTTATTTCACACATGAGGATTCAGCTAGTTAATCTATGTTTGAGGCACTGACTTCCAACATAATATCTGAAAAGTCATTCATTTAATGTGCTGTGCTCCGACTTACTTGTAATTCTGGCATTCGTTCTCTGTGATGTTGAGCTGTGTGTCCAGGTGATCCAGCAAAGTGTCAGTACATTCTTCACACAGTGGATGGTCCACATCCGTCTGACCCGACATTATATCAAACAGGTCGCTCGTCACCTGAGGCACAAAACAGACACTTTTTAGGTTCAGCCATAGACACAAACATACTAACAAGGTGTTTTGTCAAACACACGGACGCCTCTTAAATTATTGCAAAACTTTTTATCTGTGACAAAGTGCACTTTACCTTTAGCCTACGACTGAGATTCTCCATTGTGCCTCCATCAGATGCTTCTCCAATCAGGGTGAAGCTGTTTGCGCTCTCTGTGGACATCATCCTGTAGAGCAAGATTCAGCAGTTCAGTCAGTTCTATAGAATATGTCCCGTTTTGAAGTCAGTTGACAGATTTGTCATCTGTATGCGGTTCCATTTCCTGAATAAAGTGGGTGCTCACCGTGCAGGAGGGATATATTTTCTTGAAACTCCATCTTGCTTGTTTTCTACAAAAGCCTCCTGGAAGAGAAAAGTAATTCCTGAGACTCAAAGGTTGTTCGTGATGAGTTTACTACAAGTTTAGAAACATGATTAGTCTGTTGTTACTGCAAATGCTTTTCTATATGAAATGAATAAAATCCCTCCATGACATCCAAACTTTATTGTAAACCTTTTCATCCGGTGCTGAGTGCTTTCGCCTGAACCCACCTCTGGAGCTGTGTCCCCCTCGCTGCTGTCAGCCTGTTTGCTGGGAGTCACTGTGACCAACGGAGCTGAGGAGGAGAAAGAGGAGGAGGAGAGGGGACATAGATGAGTGACTTCATGGTCAGATGGAGCAGTTTGGAAATGACACTACATGTTAATTTAAGAATACACTTACCTATCAGCTCATGGATTGTGACCCGATCCAGCACATTGAAGGACGTGTCCAGCTTGAGGGGCTGACAGCATCGCTGACACACGAAGCTCACCTGCATGGTTGTGCTCGACGACTTGGAGCCCTCCATCGCTAGCTACAGGAACACACACAAAATAAATAGAAACACACAATGAAGCCTGACAGCCTCTTTACTTATTTCTGTCACAAAGTTGTAGCTCGTTGGCTAGTTAGCAGCCCGTAGCTAAGGCTAACCTTGCAGCTAGCTTGCTCGTAAACAACATAGCATAACAAAGACTCACTGTCGCTTGTGAAAAATCAAAGCTAGTTCACTGTGATCCTCAACTGTGCATGACGAAAATAAGAAAACACTTCAGATGCAGTTAGCGTGACTGTAGCATTCTGCTCCTCGGGACTTCCTCCTCCACTTCCGTATTGTTGTTTACGTTTCCGCGTGACGTCAGAATCAAGAGAAAAAAAACCTGCATCCTATATTTCCGGTTATTTCGATTAAACTGTGAGTGTTTCAGTGTTTTACTCATCGAACTCATTTTACATTGAATTTAATCAAAACATGAGAAAAAAAGACGAGTGAAGTCAAGTAAATGTGGAGCCGCTGCTGGAGCCGAGCCAGCAGGTGTCGCTGCAGCATCAGCCGCAGCGCGCCGTCAATCCAACGCAGAAGAAGATGAGCTAGTTTGCGGGAAAAGTGAAGCGGATCATTTGCGTATTTACAACTTTGGACTCAAAACGAGGTAAATGTCTGTAAACGTTAGTTTCCTGTGATCGACGCTTTGAATCTAGATAACTCCAGGCTTCTGTTTCGGGTCACTCGTTGGTCCGCGGGTGTGTTTCCGTCGACTGTCTCAGTCTTTAGAGGAAAAGCAAAGAGTCTCGTCGTGAGACCAAAACAACAAATCACCGCAGCTTAACAGCGCAGGGTTTAACTTTGACTAACGCTAATATGAGCTGCTGACACTGAATATGAACTCACAACTTCTTTTTATGAAGGTGACAATGCGTGTGTCTGTCTCAAATCTCACAGGAGCTTTGTGTTTGACCACATCATCTGTTTTGTAACTTACTGCTGCTTAAACACATTTATTGTGCATCATCTTTGAATCCTAGTTTAAGTGTTTCTGTTGAGCCTGATACTAATAAAACACACTGATAACAGTGTAGTGTACTAAGTAAATCCAAATACTGTAGCCACCCTGATAACTTCCCTGTTAGATAACACAATATACCTGGCTACTTGTATATGTGCAACCTATCTGTACAGAAAATATGACATAACCAAAGTACACACAGTCAAACAAGTGTCACTTCAGTTTGTCTCATTGTTTAGTTTTGTTTGTGTTCTGTGTTTGCTGATTTAGCTTTTTTAAAAATTCACCATGGAAAGTCCAAAGGCCGCAGATGTTAAAAAGGGGATCTCAGTCCTTTGGGAGACTCTGCAGTGTCCGATATGGTGAGTGCCACCGACAACAGGAAAACGTGTTGAATAACCAGATGTGATTGATCTGATTGATATTTTTGAAATAAACTGTAACACGCTGAACTTACATCACACTGTCTTTCACATGTAGCTTGGATTTATTGACTGTACCGGTATCCACCAAGTGTGACCACCAGTTTTGCAGGTAAAGAACATCTTATAAATTCAATGATTAATACATTTTAACATTTATTCCTACATGCATTAATGAGTAATACATTTGCTTTTTATGTTCTCATAGATTTTGTATAATGAAACTCGTGGACAACTCCAAACAAAACAGGGCCAACTGTCCAGTGTGCAAAACCAAGATAACCAAAAGGTTGGAGAAAATCAATAAGAAGACGCTCAATACTTGTGTCATTGAAAGTTCATTGTTATTATTATGTACATCATAATATATAATATATGTGTGTGTGTGTGTTTGACCTGTGCAGGAGTTTGCAGGTCAGCCCTGGGTTTCAGAGACTTGTTGCAGGACTGCAGGACATGATACAAGCATATGAACATGACACTGGCACAAACTGTAAGATCACATTGCAGACTTCTTCAAATGCCCCCATGTAATTAACTTGCATTACATCACCTACTAAAAATCCTCTTATATTTTCAGACTTCACTGGAATGTCCCTGCAAGAAAAACAGCAAGGGTAAGAAATTAGAACCATTGACAGGAACATTTTTCTTTTAATGTAACTTCAATCTAATCATATATTTTCTTCTAATCAGTGTCACAGATGCCGAAGCAACCAAACCTCATGTGTTATCTGGAGAAACGACCCACACTGACCATGACTATGTGGAAAACGAAGACCAAGATGATCTTCCACGGTCTCACTCTTCAACTATAGCAGGTAAAATTCTTGACATCACTTGTAACTGTTGGTCTTACTACATCAAATCAATTTCGGCATTAGTTTTGGTTATAAAATTTTTTGTACAAGTTAAAAATAAATAGCAAATTTTTGTTTTATTATATAAATAAAAAATCCTACTTGGGAAGCTTCTATTAGGGTGTAGAAACAACTCTGACACAATTTGAAGTAAATATATGACCTAATTAATCGGAATTACTCTTGTGATGTTAATCTTTTCCTATTTTAAGACAAGCTGTGGTCATTAAATATTTAGAAAGTGGTGATTTGTGCTGCACATGTGTTATTGTGTCCTGCTCAAGATTCCTAAGCAAAGACAAGAAAACCTTTCTCTTTACTTTAACCAACCAAGGCTTCCACTGTTTTATTTCTAGTTTGTCAGTAGATAAAACAGTAGTTTGTAAGTGATTGTAACTCATTATTCATCTTCATTGAAGTTTTCTTCCAAATACTTCATTATTTATCATTTCCTTATCTACTGTTTTAGCCCAGAATGAATTTGCAAGACTCATGGAACTTGAAGACTCGACTCCTATGACGACAGAAAACGAAGGCCTGGACAGCGGCATTGGGGACGCCTTGCCGACTTCTGACAAGAAACTAGAACCAGTAGAAACAGAAATGTTAGAAGCTGTGGAAAAAGCATCAACACACACATCAATTCCTGAAGAGACAGAAAATCAGCCTTTAAGAAAGTCTTTGCGGAAGAAGCAGAAAAAGGATCTTGAGTCCGACAAGATTCTTGAGCGGAAACGGAAGAAAAGTCTTGAAAAAGTTGCTGAGTGGCTTATGAAAGTTCCATCTGAGGGAAGTCTCGAATTAGAAAAACCAGACAAAGACCCAGATGAATCTGATAGCTGTTCCTCCACCTCAACAATAGATCTAAAGCAACACATTAATGATATTAATTCTAAGAGAGAGGATCGTGCCAAAGCACTCGAAGAGCATGTTTTCGGAGCCATCTACAAACGAGACAGAAGAGGAAAGAGGAACAGCTCTCATCCACTTTTTGTTGAGCCAAAAATGATAAAACAGAAAACAGGCTCTGAGGATGAAAATCGAAGCGACTCTGAGGAAGGACAACTGTTAACAGAAGACGTAAATGATAGCAGTGAAAAGTCAGAACAGATGGAAGACTTGGAGGAAAATGATGTTGACAAAGGTGAGATTCTTGAGTCGGCGTCTGAACCACAGCAACCACAAAGAATGTCAAAGAAAAGAATGCAAAACGCTCTGCAGCAGGTTGACAGTGATTTACAGAGACAAGCTGAGGCACAGTCAGAAAAAACTGAGCCAAAGAAGACTGACAGGAGGAAAGGTAAAAACACAAGGTCAGAAAAAGGCAAACCTGCAAGAGTGTCGAAGCCCCTTGTTCTCATTGGAGTTAAAAATGGAAAAACCAATCCAAAGACTAGAGTGAGGTCAGAAGAAGTTCAGGTTCAAATTGAGAACTATCCGAGCAGTGAGGACAAAGAAACCCCCACACTGAGGAGCACCAGGAGAAGCAGAAGGCTTCAGCTCTTTGCAGAGGAAGTCCAGGACGGTCACAAGAAACCAAACTCGAGAACTACTCTTATTGAAAAAGATGTCACACAGCAGCAGGAGGAAGTTGAGGGTGAAACACTGGATAAAATAGAATCACCTAAGAGTGAAAAGATGGCTAAAAGAAATGGATGTGTTTATGAGGAAGATTTAGGAGGAATTGAAAACATGGAGTCTGGTGAGAGAGCTCGCCGAGAAGACTCCATTGCTGAAGTGCAGAATTTGCCGAATGCTGAAACTCTCTCTGAAGCTAGTGTTGGTTGTTCTGTCCCAGTTGTCCCAAGTTCTCAATGTCCAACTGAAGCAACTGTGCTAGGTCCAACACTTGAAAATAAAAATCTGACTGATCGATCCTCCAAAAATATTGAGTTGAAAACATCAGCTTGCGAGTCCAAATGCACAGTAACAGAGAAAGAGGAGGAAAAGAATGACAGCGAGCTGGACACAGAACAACTGCTCCAGAGCTTCAAAGCCACAAAAAGGAAATCTTTCCATCTCGGCGGTCCGAAAGGGAAAAGAGCTCGTAGCTCAGGACATGGAAACACGCAGGGTGCTGAAGGAGAGGAGAATGATTTTGTTAGTTCTAGTGTTGAATCTGCAAAAAAACAGACGTACAAGAAAACATCTGTCATCTTCAACCAGGAGGCACTAAAAGATGATGAAAACTCATCGTGTAGTGACTTGATTTCTCCTTCTGTCTCACCAACACTGAAAAGAAAAACAGATCAAGTGGTGGTTGAAGCCTTGATCCCTGTCACCAGTAGTTCAGGTCATCACGGTCCTGCTGGTAACTGTCTCTCCAGGAACAGTCAGAGCAGCGTCCTCACTCCTAATCAAGTCTCAAAACATGAAATTGAAATTCCTCATCTTTCCGTCGTCCCTCAATTAGTAGATTCCGTCCTCCACTTCACAGCTGTTGAGCAGGAGGAGGTAAACGAAGCCTCAAAGAGCTCTCAAAACCATCAGCTTGATTGTTCAGTGAAGGATGCTGGGAAATGGAAGGAGATTAGAGACAGCATTTCTCCTGGAAAACATTCAGACAACACGGCTGAAGGTATCTTAGTTGCTGAGTCTTCTTTAACTCCTGACGGCCTGGTAACACCACTTGTCCCGGCGGTCGATGGAAGCGGAGAGCTCAGTGCACACTCCTCCATCAAGAACAACCTGAGGAAGAGGAGAAGGACTCAGAGGCTGGAGTCTTCATCCGAGTCAGATAGTGCTGGATCCAGAGAAGAATTACCTACGCTGACTCAAATCTTTGGAACGTCGGCTCTTCCGGCTGCTGTGACCCAGGATCAGGGAGACTCCAATGGATGTGAGGCTGCATGTGTTCCAGCTGATGCAGCAGAACGGTTGAGCCGTCCGCCTGCATGCCCGAGTCCCGACTGTGTTAACTCCAGCCAAGGGTCTGTGGACTTGTTCGGAACGCCAGATGAATGTAAGTAGATTCTCAGTAACTAAATAAAACAATTAATCTGCTAATTGTGTTTGCTCTGTTGTTTCCCTCTGTGAGTGTTTGTGTATCTCAACAGAATTTGATGATTCCTTTTCTGCAGGTGGTGTTCCAGTAAATGGAAACACTGACATGGAGTCATCACTATTTTCAAGTGAAGTCCTTGTCACGCAGGTAAATATAGTTACGCTCTCAGGTACTTTCTTTGGTTTCGATTAAAGCTGCACACATGAAAAGCAAAACCACCAAATCCAACGTTTAAAGAATCGCTGATCCTCGTCAAAGTGAGATTTTCCATTAATGTGAACCCATTTCTGAGTCTGTCCATCTGTCTGTTTATATTTATACATTTTCACTGTGCTCCCAGTGATGCACTTCCACCTCATGCCCCATAGAGGGCAGCCTCCACATTTTTTTAAACCTAAAACCTGTCAGATCCTGGATGACAGACTACCCTGCCCAGTAAAATATGTCCCCCTCAGCAGCTTTCTAAATTGCATTTCATTTACGTTAGAGACAATGCCGCCTCAGAGATGATTCTTGTTTTCTACCTCATCCATCTTCCAGCGCTCTCCCTTTTATCCATTGACTGTATTTGAATGGGACTTAAGGTTTCCAGCGCTGGGGTTTAGAGAGGGCCCAGGATTACAGACATCTGAGAATATAGAGCGAGGATGTCTGTATACATAAACAATGCACTTAATGCTGTAAAAACTCAAAAGAGTTAGACTCTGTTCTTCCAAATCAGCCCCAGCTGAGAATAAGCTTTTGTCGCTTTCTGAACTCTCTCTAATCCCTCAAATATTCTGTAATTACCTCTCTGTCTCTTATTCTACCCGTCTCCTCACTGTGTGGGGTATGGATAAATAAGCAGCTATTTTCTTCCACTAAAGATAGTAAATGTTGCATTGCTTACCACCCGTTTCTTTTATTTTATCGCTTGCTCTCTGTTCTCCTTCTTTAAGCAAAAGATACAGATGCAGAAGGAGCTGGTGAGGCTGGAGAAGCTGATGGCTCTGGTGTCAGAGGTGCTTCAAGAGAAAGAGCAAAGTCCTGCGAAAGAGACGAATCACAGCAGCAAAACCACCGGTAAGCAGATAATAATGTAGAAGTTGATCGATAGACTGATGATTATTAGATTCGATTTTTCAAAGCAAAATGCCAAGAGTTCACTGGAGTGTGGACACCTGACCTAAGCTGTGATCTGACAAATATTTTGAACTGATATTCAGGTTTGGTAATCAAGGAAAACATCGAGATCGGGTCAGGTTCAGACACAAAAAACAGAATGTCGGTGTCGGTTAGTTTTCTCTCAGGCTCGGTGGGGATTAGACCAAGCTGTAGTTCCACTCAGTTCCTTAATATCAAACTTAATATATTTTGGATTTGAGCCATTGGTTGGACAAAACACACAATTTTACACCATTTCTTTTGATTGTAGTTGATGATTATCAAATATTCAAAGCTGACCTAAACATGATGGTTGTTTTGTGTCTCCAGGCCCAGACACTCACGAACCTCTCCCGTGTAACCAGGAAGCACGGCAAGATTCAGAACAGTAAGTTACATGTGAAAGTGTCTCACTGAAAACACAAGGTGTGCTGTTCAACACAGATAAATTGTATTTGTTTGTGTTAAGCAGGAAATGACTCGAGGGGCTGATAATATCACAGCTAAATGAGTCTCAGGAATTGGACAGTCAAAAACCAGTTCTACGTGATATCAGTTTCCATTGAGGACGTTCTCGAGGTCGGCTGTTCTCTGCAGTCGTCTGTTTGACGATATCGTAATTGAAAACGAGAGGAAGATTTGTCAACATGCAACTTTTGATCTTTCTCATGCTATCGACGGCATCGATTTTGTATTGGCAGAAAATACAAAAGTCACAAGATTTAAGGTCCTGATAGCTGCACTTTGTTAAAGTAGAGCCAGGCTAGGAGTTTCCCTCTGTTTCCAGTGTTTGTGCTAAGCTAACTGGCTGCTGACTCTAGGTTCATACTTATTGGACAGATATTAGGGTGGTATTTAACCTCTCATTTTGAGAACCTGCCATAAGGTAAAAAAATCATAAAAGTAACGAACCAACTGAGTCAGTTTTTTACTTAAATAAACCAATGATTAAACACAGACTTACTCCTCGGTCAAGTAGACAAGCACCTGTTATTCTCAGTAGGCTGGTTAGACAATCAGCTGGCCTGACATTAGCCTCAAGTCATGTGACAGTTCTTCAAATCAAACAGAGCCTCAATAAGAAATCAAATTACATAATATCTGCTTTGCTTTTCTCTCCTCAGAGACGCATATGCAGTGTTAATACATTTTAAATGGAGCCATATTTCAATGCAGCCATATTAAGGAGAATAATATGTGAAGCCAGTGGCATGTAATTGGTCTCTTTCATTCTGTAACTGATGGAGAAAATGTTAGTGTGTGTGTGTGTGTGTGTG